CTAAAAAGATAATTATAATAGTATTCTTTTTATATACACATCTTAAGATTTATTAGTCAGGATGGGTTAATTGCTATAGCAAATAGTTCTAAAATCTTAGTGGTATCTGTAACACTAAATGAGTTTTGTTGTTGTTTATTTTTCCTATTTACATGTTTTGCCAGTAAGGTTGATAGCAAGACTTTGCTCCAAACAGTCTTTCAGGGACCCAGGCTCCTTGCAATTAGTGGCTTTGCCATTCTTTAAGGCCTTACGAGGATCCTCTGTGTTTAGCTGACATTAAGGAAAATAGAAGGGAGGATTGTTATGAGCCCAGCTTAACGGTGGTGTACATCACTTCTGCCCACAGTCTATTGGGCAGAACTTATCAGATGGCTGCACCTAACTCCAAGGGGGGGTTGGGAAATACAGTTTGGCTGGGTGCCCGAGAGGAAAAGAGTACAGGTAGCCAGCCTCTACTACATAAGATTAACCCAACAGTATCTCTCAGAAAAAGGTTGGTGACCAAACAAAGGTAATAAGCCTATTCCACACTCGGCTACATTGAGGCAGCAACCAAAACTACATTGTTTACTAAAAATTCTCCGGAGATGTTTTATGAAACAAAATCTGATCTGCATAACAAGAGCTGCACAAAATGATGCAGCAAGAATTCCAAGGAACGTTTCATGTTATTAACCACAGTGTGTTGAGTCAACTTAGTTTCATTAATTTCTAAGCCCCAGGGAGGTTGGTGTGGGCAGTCATTCAATCTGCCTGCATCTCCTTTAAATGCCCTGGCACAGGTCCTGTCATGACCCACCACTCTAAGTTCTGTCACCAACCCCACTGATACCTCATTTTTCTGAGCATCAGCACCCCACAATTCCAGTTTGATAATGCAGTTAAACAGACCCCTGGTGACTGTGAGACTGAGGAATCTAACTGGCCTATAAAGGGGTGTAAAATCGTTCACAAGCTTCTAAGAACACTGGTCACAGATTACAGGTTTATCTATATACAGTTTTACCCCAATTCATGAGAGGCAGATTTTATAAAGCAGTCAAATTAAAATGTAGTTATTTTCTTTACCATAAAATCCACCAGTTGAATTTCTTTAATTGGCAAATTTCTCCAGTGTAGTCAAAACATTAATGGACATTCAAACATTTAAGATGCTATTGAGAACTTGTATGGCTTCACTAATATCTCATGCATCATATAAGGCATATTAATAGATAGATAGATATAAATTTAATCTGTTATATACTATATTTTTCTTTAGCTTTGAGAGAGCTTTACAATTCAATTGTCTTTGGGAGGTAATTGATTTAATCATAAGAGTTATTGTGGTATTATTATATTTCTTTCCATATTTTCATAATTATTTTCAGGTAAAAAGTCTTCATACAGTTTGTACATTAGAAATCAATATTTTTTTTTACTTGAAAACCAGATGTTTTAAGTAGAAGTGCTAAGTAAATTTTATGAATTTGACACCTTATTTACTCCCAAACTGAGCTATCTTAAATGAGCCAGAAAAATGAATAAAAACTTTGGGTTGTCTGTCAATTAACATGCAGATAAAAGAAAAATTATTGACTTTCAGCTTATTTCTACTGTCAATTAAATTATGTTAATTTTAATTTTTAAAAATGAAGATGAATGAATCTCTCTTTTATGAAGTATCAAACATTAACTCGAATTATTCCAAATGGAAAGGAACAGAAATTACTTAATAATTTGGTATATCTGATTGGAGACTTTGGCAAGGTATCTGAATTAGTAGGGATTGCATTTGGCTGCATGTAACAGAAGCCTGACAAACAATTGAAAGGTTGGGTTTTTAAAATTTTTTTTTTTTATTATGTAACAAATAGAGGCCTGGTGCACGAATTTGTGCACTGGTGGGATCCATCCAGACCACCCGGATGGGGGCCATCGGGGGTGGGCTGGCTGGGCGAGGGGCCTCAGGCATTCTGATCTTTCCGCTGTTAGGTCAATTTGCATATTACCCTTTTACTATATAGGATGACTGGGGCTGGGTGGTTCAGGACTGCTATAGGACTCAGCTCTATCTTCCTGAGTCACCATTCTTAGCATCTGTTTTGTATCTACTGGGGTCAAAATATGATGGCTATGCTTCTAGGATTGTCTGCTTCCAGGAAGGAAGAAGAGAAAACAGCTAAAAAAGTCCCTGGGGTGAGGGGTGAGGGCAGGGAAGGGGATATCTGTAATACTTTGAACAATAAAGATAATTCAAAAGCTTTTTCAGAAACCTCACTCAGCACTTTTGTTCATACCTCCTTATTGGCTACCTTCTGCTTATCTCTCCAGATCTACTCCTACCCTTGTGCATTCTGCACTCACCCATGAGAGGCTGAGCTATATGGACAGTCTCAGTGGATCCTTTGCCCTCTGGCTTCCAGAGGGAGCTGGGACACTGTTTGCTTTGTGAAGCCAATGGAAGGCACTGGGAAGGGAGAGAAAAGTGAGGCTGAGCAATTTATTTCCTAAGCTCTTCCCCGATGGTTCGTTAAAGATAGGCTACATTCCTCTCCCAAGGCCTCAGCCCCTGTCAGTTAACTGAGAATTGGTCAAGACTGGGATTGGACTGGGGCTGTGGAAAAGTGTTCATCCTCCAGACAGCATCTTCACACCACCTAGCTCTTGAATCTGAGAGGAGCTGAGGCACCCTGTCGCTTTGTAAAACCAAGCATCAGACCTGCTTACCATCAACCTAACCTTAGGCTTTCCCTTTGGGTTGTAGTCTGCCAGTCATTCTGAGAGCCTCAGATGTCTGCAGTCCCAGCCAAGTTATACTTTACAATCAGACAGCTAAAGCTTACGTTTCTCCTACCCTTTTATTATATCTGGGCATTCCTCTGATCTTCCTCTGCCCCTTATTCATTTACATTTAAACTAGAGGCCCGAAGCATGACATTTGTGCTCTCGGGGGGAGTGGGGTCCCCTCAGCCTGGCCTACACCCTTTAGCAGTCTGGGAGCCCTTGGGGGATGGCCAACAGACAGCTTAGGCCCACTCCCCACAGTAGAATATCCTTAGAGCCTCTTCCGCCACCACTGTTGCACTCACTAGCTCTCAGCCTGGCTTGTGGCTGAGCGGCGCTTCCCCTATGGGAGCACACTGACCACCAGGGGGCAGCTCCTGCGTTGAGCATCTGCCCCCTAGTGGTCAGTGTGCATCATAGCGACGGGCTGTTCTGCCATTCATATTACCCTTTTGCATATTACCCTTTTATTATACAGTAGGTCCTTGGGTTACATCGGAGATTCGGTCCTATGGCGCAACATAACACGATTTTCACCCTAAGTCAGAACCCACCTACATAAGCACCTACGTCACTCACATGGAGCACATACACAGCAGTAATGAAGTGAAACAGTAAAAAAAGTATAAAAGAAAGATAACAATTCCTGATCTTTACTTGTGGTAAATAAATAATAAAAAACATAAAGCACATATGTACATACGTCAGAATGACGTAACTTTCTTTTTATAAATAAATGGGAGATGGCAATGTAACCACGAAACGACATATGTCGAGTCCAACGTAACCCAAGGTCTGTCTGTATAGGATGGGAGCTCAAGGGAGCAGAACTATTCTGTTCTATTGGTTTATGACACGCAGTCATTATTGTCCATTGTGTGTGGCTCTGTCCTCTTTTTATTTACTCTTATAATGTAATGTACACCTCAAAAATCACCATTTAACCCCCAAACTAAAACATTGACAATAGTGTACATCTACCTCTGTGCTCCAACCCCTATTTTGTCCTCTTGCCCCCATAAGACAATCACTATCCTAAAGTGTGTGTTTATCTTACATGTGTGCAATATGATAAACATTTTGTTATATATGTGAATATGTCTAAACAACTTACTTTAGTTGTTTTGTACTTCATAAAACAAGTATTCTATGCTACTAGAGGCCCAATGCACAAAATTCGTGCAAGGGGCTCATCCCTCACAGCCCCTCGCAGCCCCTTGCAGCCTCGGCTGGCCCTTGCAGTCCCAGCTTCATCTGGAAGGTTGTCCGAATGATCATTCTGCTGTTCGGTCTAATTAGCATATTAGCTCTTTATTATATAAGATAGGTAACTTCTGGAACCTGATTTTTTTTTTTACACAACATTGTGTTTCTAAGATCCTTTCATGTTGTTACAGGAATTTATAGCTCACTCGTTATTTTTTCTTTCATAATTGAGATTTTATTGTTTGTTTTTTGGATCAGTACACAGACATTTCAATTTGTATGCAATTCTTAACATACATACCAAAAATGTAAAGTCATGTAGTTGTGATTCTTTTCTAAACAGCTATTCCAGTGACTTTCCAGCTTAAAAATTAGAGGCTAACTTTCCTTAATAGAGTATCAAGTACCAATATCTTAAAATGTTGATACACTGTTACATCAAAGTCCCACTAATTCACAATTTAATATCATATATACTGCATAATCAAATTTTCAATCTTTCACAGCACACTGACAAAGTTACTAGGAAAACTGGACTGCCACACCAAAGATGTTACAGATGCACAAAATTCTGATAGGGAGAGCCAAGATCAAGGAGTGGTTTCCTTTAGGAAACAATTCTACCAAAAACATGTGAATAGAAGTAATTTAAAATGTTCAAGACATAGCAAACTCATGACTAACTCCAAATTGCCATTTAGTATACTTTGTATTATAGGATATAAAAACTACCCCCATCTATGGAATGCTAAGCTGACACCCAAGACAATCAAAGTCTCCCATATTCAATATCCCACTATTTTCTGGTTGTACCAAAAAAATAAACAACCAGAAAATGATTTCACCTTTTAAAAAAAAAAAAAGCATTTACACTTAAAAAATGGGATGAGGTGGAATTCCCTCCTTCTTAAAAATGTTTCTAGAGTTACTAAAAAACTTGCATTTACAAAATAGTTGATAAAAGTATTCCTCTGGATTGTACAAGAAGGGCGACAGGGACCACTGATAAGACTAGGTATATGACATTAATCAGACTTGGCTTCTTTTTCTCCTGCTTCATCTAAGGTTGAACTCTCCTTGTTTCTAGTTTCTGCGTTTTCCGCAGGTAGATCTTTAGGTTCCTGGTCAGCCACTTCAGCCTGCTTTCCCTTTGCTCCCCTTTTCCCTTTTGTTTGCACTTTTTTGTCTGCAGATTTATCCTTTCCTGCTGCCTTTTTGGGCTTCGTTTCCACTTTTGCAGGGGCAGGTTTGGCTGACAACCTGGTGGACCTCTTCTTGGGCTCCTCCTTGGCAACCCCCTCCGCAGAGCTGACCTTCCTCTTGGGCATTGTGGTGGCCGGCCAGGCACGTGCTGGGTGTCTGAGGGCCACGGCGGGCCTAGTGGCTTGGCGAACCTGGGTTGCCCCTATAGCTCACTCATTATTACTGTCGTATAGTATTTCGTTAGTTTTTTATTCTTGTGTTATTGGACATTTGAGTCTTTTCTAGTTTTTTGCTATTACAATAGCACTGCAATGAACTCTCTCTCACATGTCTTCTGATGCATAGACAGGAGTTCTCTTGTCTCCATCCCTAGGAATAGAACTGAACAGCCATGGCGTGTATAAATGTTCCTCCTTTACAAAATAATGCCACATTTTTACAAAGTGATTGTGCCTTTTTATATACCCCCTGGTAATACATAAGAAACTCCCTTGATCCATATCCTTTCAACACTTGATATTGTCAGACTTGTTGATTTTTGCAGATTAAGTGAATGAAAAATGAAATTTCTTTGACACCTTAATTTATGTTTCTGTAATTACTAGTGAGGTTAAGCATCTTCTTGGATGCACGTTGGCTGTAGATACTTTCTAGTCTATGTAATGCCTATTCAGGTCGTTTGCTTATTTTTAATTAAAATTGAGTTGTTTATCCTCTTTTTTATCAGATTTTGGTAGGTTCGGCAGACAGAAAGTCAGTGAAGGCTTAGATTTGAACACAATTAATACCCTTCATTTAATGAGCATATGTAGAATTCTCCTGCCAACAGTTGGAGAATGGTCATTCTTCTCAAGCAGACATGAAACATTTCCAAAAACAGATGATGCACTAGGTCATATGTTTTAACATATTTTAAAGAACAGTTGCCACAACAAAGTTAGAAGATAATAATACAAAGTAAGTTAAACAGAATATTGATGTACTTGAAAAACTACAAATATTTCAAAATGACTCATTAAAAATACAAAATTACCTCGCCTTTACAACCAGGATCCAGATGCCTATTGTCCCCTCTAGCACATGAGCCCTACCCAGGAGCAGAGCAGGCTGCGAAGGGGCCTGACCCTCCTTGTCTCATCCCTCCTTACTATCCCGTAAAATCTCATGTACCACTTTCTGTGGACTGCCCTACTCAGGACGTGGACTCTCAAAGCCATCACCTCCTGCAAACTTAGAAAGAGGGAAGGCTGTAATGATGTTTCTATAATTTATCTTTTTAGACCAAGTAGAAATAAACTTTCAGAAACATCATCTCACAAAATTCTCTGTGTGAGAATGGCAGTGTAGTATCAATCCCTGCCCCATCTTTTGCCTTGCATGGCACAATAAGGGAGGTGAGACATTAACTATAAAAAAAAATCAGGCTGCTGTCCCTCCCATAAGTCCCAAAATGCACAGGGTTTTATATGGTATAGTTAGTTTGAAAGAGCTTTTCGGATATGAATACCAGTTGTCCCATTTTTAAGCTTGAAGAAATCAGCACAAATTCTACCCCTTTATCATATGGCCACACAGCACACATTTCATCAAGACTTTCGGTGGGAGTGGCCCTTTAATCATATCCCTCTTAAATGACAGAAAATCCATTTTTTCCTGCTATGTAAACTTCATAGATTTTGCTCAGCTTGCATTTCTTTTAAGGTAGGCACAATAGCACAGCAAAGAACCTAGAACAAAATGTGAAATAGAAGATCACAGCTGCACAAAGTGTGTTGGTGTCAACTACATAGGCAAGCTGTAAAGAAGAGGTAGTTTCCATGATGCTAGTGCAGCTTATACTCAGGGCCCTTCCCTTGCAGGGCCCCCCTTTTTAGGCCCTGCTGGGGACCCTAGCAATTGTGAATTTATTATTTTGTATTCTTCTTCTTAGAGACTTCCAAAATTGTATAAGCTTACGGACCCACAATACCTGGATCTGCCTCTGAACATGTACATTATAAAAATACATATAAAAAACTTGAATCCATTTCATAATAGTGGTGCTGGGCCAAGCTCTGGAAGAAACCCTGGGCCACCTTCAATCTGGGGTTGGAAGAGTCTAAGCTGACTTGGATTTTGAAATCAAAATAAGTGATTTCAATTTGGAAAATATCCTGTTGTCTTAGCTTCTCCCTCCTTTCTTTCACTCTCACTAGCCTTTGCTGAACATTCATTACAAAATATATACAACACTGAAATAACACAATTACTTTTAATAGCCAATTTTTTTCTTGCAGACTTTTTGCAAGGTGCTAAAATAACATTTCATGACGGTTAAATTCTAGGTTTATCTGCAAAAAAGGTTAATGCTGGGCACATTTAGGCAGTTAGGATGGTCTTAGAGTCAGAATATGCTGTAGTTCTTCTTTATATATCTGTCTCAATATCCACTCCAATTCAGTTATAAACTCTGAGCCAAAATGCCTAAGAGGTACCTTAATCAGATCACATATCAGCTTAGAGTAGTGATTTTAGTAATATGGACATCTGGCCACTTGGAAGTGGATAAAGGCCACCAACTCACTTGACAAAAGCCACTGAACATCTGTCAGTATGGAAATAGCTCTCCTTCTAGCTGACCCTGAATCAGATTTTAATAGCCAACCTCACAAAGAAAGGCCATCTCTTCTCCTATCAGCCAGATAACTTGGTGCCATCCAGAAATACCCTATCAATATCCTGCCAATGATGCTCTGCTAAATATATTTTTTGGAAACAAGTGCGAATGGTGTTAATCCAGAGTCTTCTGTATTTCCCCCTTGCTATATGCCATATGCAAGGGTAATATTAAAAATACTGAGAAGCACACTGAAGCAGGGTCTTGGAGAAATTCTGTGTAGAAACCTTGTGAAGAAGGTCCCAGGGAAGGCAGGAAGGTGGGAGGCACACATGGAGGTCAGGGAAACCATTGTTTAACAAATAACATGGAGGTATTTCAATACTTTAACAAGCAGTCTGGCCATGTGAACCAGCATAACCATCCTTGGACGTAGACACAAAAATCCAAAGATGATTATCACTCCCCCACACATACCACAAAGAGATGGGAGAAGATTTGAGCTATAGTCTGGCTCAAGTAGGGAAGTGTGTAGGGCAGGGGTGGGCAAACTTTTTGACTGGAGGGCCACAATGGGTTCTTAATCTGGACCGGAGGCCCGGAACAAAAGCATGGATGGAGTGTTTGTGTGAACTAATATAAATTCAAAGTAAACATCATTACATAAAAGGGTACGGTCTTTTTTGTTTTTTAGTTTTATTCATTTCAAACGGGCCGTAGTTTGCCCACAGCTGGTGTAGGGGAAAGTTTTAGCATCTTTGAGGCAGTGTTATTAATTGGTGTGGAAGCAACCTTTATTAAACTCTTTCTGTGTAAATGTACCATCACATGCTGTGCTGTGATTAGAGCCAGGCAAGAGCTGGCCTTGTTATAGTACCTACAGTTTAGAAAACCCTATAATCACACACACACACACACAGACACACACACACACACACTTATCAAGGAACACGGGGCACCTCTTCATTTGGGATCCAGGGCTCACTGCTGATAGGAAACCCAAGCCTCTGAACATCAGTTTATCTGACTAAACCTGTCAGGCCCCAGGAAACACACACACACTCAGAGAGGAAGGGAGAGGAAGAGGGAGATAGAAACATCAATGATGAGAGAGAATCATTGATCAGCTGCCTCCTGCACACCCCCTACTGGGGACCAAGCCTGCAACCCAGACATGTGCCCTGAAAGGGAATCAAACCGTGACCTTCTGGTTCATAGGTATCTGATGCTCAACCACTGAGCCACACCAGCTGGACCCCATGAAACACTTTTCTGTGTGGCCTTCCCTGTGTCCTCAAAACAAAGGCAACTGTGTCCAATGCTGAGAAAATCTGTGAGTTGTGCCACTTTCAGCTTCAGAGACGGACACTGCTTTTGAGAGCAGGGAGTTTAAGTGGCTGAAGTGCTTAGGTAAGAGAAAAGACAAATTAATTAACTTGTCAAATCTTTCCTGTCAGCATGAATGCAGTAGACTCTTATTCTATGAAGTATTGTTTCCCAGTAGTGCAAGTATCCATTTTTTTACTTCTCTTCCATGTTCCAGTTGAGTTCCAATTCCTGCTTCAAGTTAGTGCAGTATTTGCAATGGTCACACATGGTGGCTTAGGGACATTTTGCAGTATTAAATAATTCATACTATTCTTAAATATCTACAGATATTTCTACAGACATATTTATCTAGACATACATTTGGAAGTATGATGCTAGTTCTTTACATAGCAACCAGATGGACATTGAATACTCTAATTGCAATAGTTTTATCTTTATAAAATACTTAAGATTTAATTAAAATTTCAAAATACTAAATAAACGATTTTGGCATTATTTGAATAAATGGATTTACAATTTTTATATTTATCCATTATAATTTTCATTCTGCCTTTTAAATTTAATGCATCATTTTGAATATTTTAAAAGAGAAATAAATTTTAGAAAGTATACAAAAATATTAATTTTCATATTTAATTTATATGTTATGAAAGTAAATTAACATTTTCATTCTGAATATAATTACATTCTGGTTTTTTAGTTATTTAGTTCATTAGTGTCAATAGAATAGAAGTTCTATAAAAATGTTCATTATAACAGCATCTTTAGTAACTTGGCCAAAATAAAAGCAGGAAAGACAAATTTTATGGACTAAATTTTAGTTTTTTATGAATTATGTATATTTTTATTTTATTACTCATCCAGATATCACCAGCCTAACAACGGAACAACAGAAATAATGGACAATAAAAACTAGATTTAGTTGTCCTTGATATTTAATGTTTTATATGACGTTAAGTCATACAAAAACCAAGACTTTTTATATACTTTTTCATTTCATCATTATGACAGGGTATTTGTCAAGGTAGAAAAGATCATATTTTACTTAATAGCTTCATTTATAGCTTTTAAATATGTGAACTTATGGTGTGTGAGCCTCCATTTGCACTCTTCCCTCAGGCCTTGCAAATGATGACCGAGGCCCCAATCAGAAGGTTTTAGGAAACATATTAAGCTATTGAAAAAATTCCTGAAGTGTGA